AGACGGTAAACGCATAACATTTGCTGATTAAGGCACTAACTAACTTACTAGGCTGCGCCAATTGCCAGTATCAATCTCTTTCCCTTTCCCTTTCCTCTAAATTGCAATTATTTTCCATATAACGACTTTTTTCAGAATAGGGCGTTATATAGAGAGTGGTCGCAATAGCGTTCGTCCTTGAGCCAAAACACATCTTTGTAATAAACTTCATCAATAAATATCTCAAAAATTGCGACCTATAGCTTAAACACAAATTTAATTGGACAGACTTTAGATGGATAGACGGACAGACAGGCTTAGATTAATTCGGATTATGATGTTGAATCGATCGATATAATAAAAGATGCGTCTATCTTAAGCCTTTCTGCGTACGTCTGCACTGACTTATTATACTTTATACCACAAGTGATGTATGGCAATCTAGATTTAAACACTCTCTGCGTAAATTTATCTAGCAACTCTGACAAGGCAAATTCTAAGCATAATAAATTTCTTTAATATATAGAAATAAAGTAAAACAACAACTGGAAATGAAAAGGAAAAGAAGTTTTACTTTTAAGTCAGCCACGAAAATCCCTCTCCAAACCGAGAGTTTAATCATTCAAGACAATCGTTTGTCAAAATATGAATGAATTACGCATAGGAGGGATTATAATGGTCGCGGACATGGGACGCTGGGAATATATTTCTCTTCTATCAATTTCTTGGTACAATTGCTGTTTACATCTTCGGTCAGAAATTGAAGCATTGAAGTAGGGTCATATATAACATAAGAGAATGCTTTCGTTCTTTCAGTGAAGTCAAAGCCAATTGATTTTTAGTTAATAATTGACGGGCAATTATGCTCTATTTTCGCTTTAAAATTTTTTCCTTTACTTGTTTCCTTAATTTAATAGAGAGTTTGTTTGTTTTTTGTTTTTTTTCTTGCAGATTAGCTCCTCATACATTCAAAGGCCTAAATGAAGATGTTAAGCGTAAATTTTCAAGGTAAGTTCTATTCCTTACAAATATCGTTCACGAACATTTTGAATGTGGGCAAAAATAGAATATTTATACTTTCAAAATTGTGAGAGTGGGTTGAGGGAGGGCGAGAGGGAAAAAGAGAGAAAAGTGTAAATAGTTAACATAAAGTAAGAATTGTGACCCTAGATGAAGATTAACGCTTTGATAAGCAGAATGGAAAGGCATGGAGAAATATCCAAAAACTGCCTTTTTAATGCAATATTTATGCCTTACACCATTCGTGGTAGAGAGTATATTAAGTTAATGCGGACGTATGTAACATGCAGTAGAGCTTAAGATAGATTCACCTTTTATTGTATCGATCGATTTAGAATAATTTTCTAAACCGATCTAAGCCTGTCTGTCCATCTGTCCATCTGATGTCTTTTCATGTATTGTTGTGTTTCAGCTGCACGTCGCAAATATTTCACATACTTTAGCCCAAGAACGAACACTATTGAAAATGATTCGGATCGGTTCAATTTTGCGACCGCTCCTCATATAATGCCCTATTCTGAAAAGTTGTTATATGGAAAAAAATTGCAATTTATAAAATTTCTCGGCAAACCGTGACTCAGTAGTAATATTTTGCAAATTGATGTGAAAAGTTTTGGACTGGCTGGAGAAATTTTTTTGAACCCGCTTTCATACAACACCTCTTACGGAAAATGAGGCTTTATACGGGGAAAAAGGTCGACTTTTTCAATATTACATAGTAAAAATTAGCTCATAATAGTAAGTTGACAAAGTAATCTCTTTTACCGAATTTGGACCACATACATCTATTTTTTGAATATGAATGAATTGTTAATTTCTTTGTGATGAAAGTTTGTTTATGATAGTAACTAAGTGAACAAATTAAGTCGACCTAATTTAAATCACATGGGTCTATTTCTTCCCCCACTCTTCTACAAGATGTCCTATGAGTAATGAGCCCTTTGGAAAAAGGCTTAATTTTTAATATATATAATGATGAAAATTAATTCATAATAGCGCAATAGAAAAAAAATTAACACATAGGTCTATTTTTTTTTTTTTTTTTGGACCCCAACATACATAGGCGCTATTATGAAACGAAAACTCTTATATAGAGAGAAAATCAGGTCACATTAATTCTATTAAGATAGTGCTGAAGCGAGCGAAACAAATGCCAGTGAGATAGGTCAGAGTTTGACGTATACTGTTGTATGTCTTTGCTGTTAACCGATTTTGAACACTTTACCTTTATTGCGTATTTTAGTCGCATTGAATGATAGCAGCAGAGAGCAGAATCCAAATCAAGAATCATTTGGCCATGTTCGTGATGTTTGACTCCCTTCCAATCCCAACAAACGCAAATCGTTGCCTGACGCAGAGAGCGCTGCTTCCCATATACTATTGTTGGATTTGAACAATTCTCAATCGCTCGTTACCAAACGTTTGAAAAATGGCTCGACATCGTTGCGTCTCTGCACTAACTCGCAAATGGAAATTCAGTCCATTCACTTTTTTTCACTTTTTATGCAACTGTTTTTTTGATTAAACGAAGTAATCAATGCAGTAAAGTTCTTCGTAATGATTATGTCACCACCACACAAACGCACCATAGTATAGGCTTAATAGAGCTTGTGTTAGCAACTGTGTGTTATGCAACATTAAGGCAATATGTTTGGGAAAACGCAACGAAGTAGTAATGAATGACTTTGTTATTTAATAGTCAAACGAAACAGAATTGTGACACCGTGACCGTCAGAAGTCAGAAAGAAGTGAGGAAAGATAACGAAATAGGGAAGAATGAAGGACGCAGGCATAACCGCATAGATAGCAATCGCAACTGCGAGCGCGCTATTCGCGCGTTCAAGTTCCATTGCCCTTTGACTAAACTACGCCGTAGCCATAGTAACACTAATCGATTTAGGAACGCATCCACGAAGCTGCGGCCACTGCCACCTCGTATATGGGACATATCCTGCGTGATTGGTCGATCAAATGAAAAAAGGAAATCGAAAATATAGTAATATAAAAATGGTCCACCTGATCTTAGTCCAGCAACAGTAAACGGCAGTGTAAGTAACGAAAATAAACAAGATAAGGAAATGAAAGGAAAATACTTCAAACTGTGCTGATCTTGGTGTGAATATTGAATGCCAAATATCAAAGGTAAAGTATCTTTTTTTTTCATCAATGGTAGCAGCTTTGAAAGTTCGAGTTAAAGCGATGAAAAGGCGAAAAAAGGCGTCCATCAACGATATGCAAACACTTCGAGATTTGCGATCCATGCACGCATGTAAGGACAAATTTACCAATCAAGCAGGTGTACGCTATTGACCCCGGCAAACGTGCTACTGCTCTCTTATGTCGTCGAGCGACAGTAGTGTGCTGTTTAACGCGCTGTCCAAGCTTCGCTGAGATCTACTCACCTTCATGTAAATTTTCAAGCAATAGTTGAAAAAAGGACATCATTTCGAGGCTTTTGATCCCTATATATGACTAAGCGAAATATCTTCTTCGAGAGAAGAACGAGCAGTGCATTGCTGGGCTTGAATTTTCATTTCTTTCATATTTTTTTGTAATGACCGGGCAGACAAGCCGCGCTGAGATAATTTTATTAATTAAATATTTTAATTTTTTTTGTGATATATTTTGACAAAAATTCCCTATATATTTAGTTATCTGAAACGCCCCCTAAATTGTGCTGCGAACGATATTCGATTTGTGAATATGTAGTTGGATAACTAGCAAGAGCGCGAGAAAATTCATGGGAGTTGCGCGTCTTTGTTTTTTCGTTTTACTTCTTAGCTCTTACGTGATGTCCACAGGTAAAAAGTAGAAAAAAAATGCTGATCTTCTACCCAACGTGACTTTACCGACGATAGCTAAGAAATATTAGACAGCGTCCTGTGTCATATATCGATCTAACATTTATTTTCTTCTCGATCTATTGCAATTTGGAAGACATAATACTCTTATAGCTTTGTGAAAATTTGCAATTTAAAGGGGCGGGGATAGAAGAGTCGCTTTAACGCTATACGTAACTATTTCTTGTTTATTTATTATCATCAAATTTTTTTTCAAATAAAAAAGGGCGTAAGAGATTTTTGGTTTTTGTGTGTTTTTTTTTTTTATGTAAAACATTCTAATCGAAAAAACAAGAAGAAGAAGAAGAAGAAAACAAATCAATGCAAACTGCATAAATATTTACAGCAATTTTGATGGTCTGCGGTTATCTTTGAACTTTCGATTACTTTCGCCCATAATATATATAGAAAAAAAAAAATAATAATAATAATAATGAATATTCAGAGATCACGTGAGGAAACTGAGAAAGGAGCAAAGATAATTTTCGCAGCGTAATAAATTAGCGAACTTTGGTATGCAAAGCGCAGATAAATATAGAATTTTTGTGTTTTTTTTGTTTTTTTTTTTTTCCTTTTTTTTTTTGAAAATTACGTTTATTTTTATGTTTACACACGATTTGAAAGCAAAAATAAATAAATGAAAATATTTATAATTTACAAGTCGTTCGTTGACTTCTTCTTCTGCTCTTGTTGTATTCCTGCTTCTGGTCTGCATAAATTATAGAAAGCCTGTAACAGCGCATCTGTATTATAGACCAGCCAGCGCAACAATGCAATTTAAGGGAAGTAAGTGAATAAGTGAATGAGTGAATGAGTGAATAAGTGAATGAGTGAGAATGAGCGAGCATTGTTAGCACATGCGGACTGATTTGTTAATGCTGTTGTTTAACGTTGCAGCAAAATGTAACGCGAAAAAGAATTCATTGAGTTTTACAACAGCAACAGTGCAAAAACTAATGTCTACTTAAACAGTTGTATGTGTATAAGCATAATTAACATAACAAAAATAAATATTTTATTAAAATTATTTGATTTCGAAAAAATTTACAAACAATAATAATATCAAGAAATATTAAGAAGCAAAAACAAATAATAATAATAATAATAATGATAATTAATAAATAAATAAAAAGGAAAAATTAAATATAAAAATATGGAAAAATTAAAAAAAAAAAAAAATTAAATAAAACAAATGAATCTAAGCTTTAGAAACCCAAAAATCATATATTCGATAAGGGTATAAGAGAACATGAATAGCTAATAAAAAAAGTGCGGGACACTGTGTCAATTAATTAATTTGTTATTTATGAATAAAATAAATAAACGAGTTATAATAATAAAGAATTACATTTTACATCTATTGTGTATCGTAATTAAAAAAAAAAAAAACTCAAATGAAAAAGTAAGAAAAAAAAAGGAAAAAAAGCAAATAGAGAAAGTCTTTTAAAAAGTCGCATAATGGCGCGTAAAAGAAAATTTTTCAAAATATCAGATAAGCCGGAAATTAATTGTTCAAAGTCACAAACTTCTAATAGCACACAATTCGAAGAGCAACACCAGCAGCAGCAGCAGGTAACTGAGACTCTTCGTCAAAGTAGTGGAGGCATCGTTTACCAAGCAAACGATCCGATGGACTTTCATTTTACAAAAATTCCAAAAAATTCTTCCAAATTGTTTTTCATAAAAACCTACAGACTTCTCGATAACCGGGAACACCAACGTCACGAACGTCAATCGCATTGCGAAGAGAAAGGACATCGAATTCAAAAGTCATCGAATATGAAAACGGATTTTGTACACAAGTCCACCATTATAATGGAAGTTGAAGATAAGACGCAAACGTTAAGCAATAATTCATCAACATTGTCGATGGCTTGTGGTATGAAACGTGAATCGTTTTTGCGGCACAGCTTGCAAACGTTACGTCGTAGCTTCACTTCGAAAAAGTCCCTCAAGCCAATTGATGAGAATTGCGCCGCAAAGCATCCCATCCCTTTGCCATCCCAATCACCAATATTAAATCAAAGTCATATCCCAAATTTATATATATCTACGACAACATTAGCCAGCGGTCTTGTAATAACTTTAAACTCGAATCTAAATGCAAAAAATGACCATTCGTTGAAGACGTCGGAAAAAACCGTTGTTAAGAAGCGTGCTTCAGTATGCAACAACTACCCAATTGCGGTTACGGACACTTCATTTTGTACAGGTGATGCAGTTATGGCGATTAGTGAAAACAATGAAAATAATTGCCATTTGAACAGGTATGTGCAGGACGAACTTATTCGCTCTTACTACCCTTACGGCATTCTCGAATGCTTTTCATTACTTTTCGTTATTCGTTTTATGGCAAGTAAATGCCTTCGATGGATTTAACCTTCTAAAGACATCGTAATACATCATCAATCATTTTTACGTGAAGTTTTACGTCCCTCCAAAATTATGATTCCGATTATTATCAAATATTATGGAGAACGTGTTAAGACTCGCTTACTTGCGCCGCCTCGCTGAAGAACTCAACTAAAAAGTGTTAATTAATTGATATCTTTTCAAGTTCAAGCCAATGTCAAGCAAAAGTCGAAAAATTCTTATTATATATATAATTCAAGTTCAAGGCGAACTTTCAATACCCTTCAGTACAGAAATTAACAAAAATCATTTTTTTTTTTTGCAATGAAAAATGGTTTTCTCTCATCAAAACTCTTATAAAGGAAATGGGAGGGGGATTGTGGGAGGGAGTGCTCCTATTCGATGCAAATTTTTCATATTCCTACTAGTTTTTGCTTCGTTTTACTCGAGAAAGATGAAAAGCTGCTCGTTTTTCCCCATAATTGGTTTATTATATTACGGCTCGTTCGTGGGTTAAAAAGATGCGATCAATATGTCATTGTAGCAAATTTTCTCAAAAGATATCGAAAATTGCATCACATATGTATATTGAAAATAATTCAAAAAATAATCGTTTGGTGATCCTTCGCAATTCTTTCTCCATATTCCCTCCCCTTCAACGCTTTTCATAAACGCTTTTTTCCATTGCGTTAAATTTTAAAAGCCTATGCAGCAAATATCCTAAGCAGACCTAACACACATATTAAGATTATGAATATTCTAAGCCCTTGAAGATCTTCGGTTTTTGTGAACTATATCCGACGATACGATTACGAATGATTCAAGCCAATTATTAGCAAGCAGTGGTACGGCTACTTTGCACCTCGAAATTAGGATCGACTAATAAATTCGATTCAGCTGATCAACAGACATTTATTCTCTCTCAACTAATCTGACCAAAGAAAAGTATTTCGAAATTTCTCTCTTATTGCGTGAATTGTGGGACAAAAAATTTTGCTTTGCATCTTAACTTTGGCGCATTCATCTAAAGTTTATTATGAAGAAAGTCGATTATTTATTCTCAGGGAATTTTTTTTGTTTGTTTCATGTTACGAAATATTTCAATTTTTCATTCTGCTAACACGTTACTAGAAGATAGAACTTCAAGCGGATATCCGGTGTTAAAAAAAAAAAAAAATGAATGAAAGAAATGCAAAAATTACTTAACCAGCAATCGATGATGAAAATTTTTACTTTTGTCTACATCTTCTACAACATGTGCGAAAGGCACGTGAACATGATTGCCCGCTAAGCATGTAAGCTACGTTTTGTGAGTATATTGAAAGTAGACAAATCGCAAAGAGGTCTGTTAAGTTAACCAAATGTTTGATAGCAGTTGAACAGATATATTTCGATTTCAAGCAATATTTTCCGTCTCGTCCGTCACAAATTGGAAAAAATTTGGATTAGAAAGTTAAAATTTCATATCTATTAGTGTCGTGGAATCTACGTTCAAAAGGAAACATGATTAGAAGGAAATAAAAGAAAATTAAAGCAAAGGTCACTCTGCATCGTTGCTGCGAAGCACGTTTTCGCTGATGCTACAAAATTTCTTTGTACGATTACTTACGGCCGTACGGACAGTTTAATGATCAGCGAAAAAAGGGGCGTAGACCCATTAGTAACTTGCTCTCGTATTTTTTGTTTTTCTTTCTTTTTTTTTTGATAATTTACATAGCCATAGGTTTGAAATTTGCCATAAGAGTAAATTTTTATAAAGCAGGCGATAGATAATTCGGCATTAAATCCATGGTAAAAGGTTCATAAATATATATATCTATATATATATATATATAGATATATGTGTATTTTCGCCTTAAATTGAATATATTTGTTTCCTTTTTTTTAGCTGCAATTATAAAAAAAAAACTAAAATTAAAAACAAGTAAGAAAATTATATTCGGTCGTAACTGAAATTCATTCAAATCCATTACCATTTTTTTTTGTTTTTTTTTCGAAAAAAAAAACACTTAATAACAATTAAAGAATTAAATTTTCATACTCTATAATATTGAGTGGGCGTGATTGATTTTTTTGTTTTTTTATTTTCAAAATAAAAGTGGAAATTTATATGATGGTATACCTGTATGTTGTACTTTATGATTGGCATGCAAAAAACGCGGAAAGCAATGGTATTCAAAGTTTTTGTTGCCTCGGTGTGTGGTATTAGGTTATTTGCGCTTTCCTTTGCAAAAATTCTAGGCGATATTCTCATCGTTGCGAACAGGAGAATGTCTACCACAGATATTACATAGTTGTACAGATGGACAGACGGACAGACGGACAGACGCACATACTTAAATCGATTTAAAATTTGATACTGACGAAGAAGATATACACCTTGGGAGTATGGGGTCTATGAAGTTTCCATGTAGGCGTGACACACGTTTCGACAAAATGAATATACCCCACATCCTTCGGCGACGGGTATAAAAATATATCGCATACATATTAAATATTTCGCATACATTAACATTACATCGTTTGTCGTAGATAGGTAAGGATGTGTTTTTTTGTTGCACAATTTGCAAATAATAATAAGATGCGGGCACAGAGTAAAGGGTAAAATTGGAATGCACAAAACCAAGCTTTTGCTTTGCGTGCATAGAGTTGATAATTGTGATGGTTTTTTTTTTCTTTTTAATTTCAAAGCGAACGCTATCTCTTTCCATCTCTAATTATAATATATATAAGCAATTTTCTTTTTGAAAAGAAACCAAGTGAAAAAGTTGTATCCGGTCGTGGGCGAATCTATTATACCCGTCACCGTTATCCTAAAAATGACTAAAAAAAAAATTTAAAAAAATGTAAGAGAATTAAATTTTCTTCGTCTATAATCGGTAGTGGGCGCGATTGTTTTTTCCTATTTCGAAAATGGCAATTTTTTTCGCATAGGCATGGTGGGCGTTGTAAGTATGTTCTTTAGACGATTTGCGTCACTTTCAAATTTCTTTGTAGGGGATTTCTTCATTTTCACAAAACGGATACATAGATACTACGCGGTTGGATAGATGGACAAACGAGCAGTTGGCCATGCTTAAGCATACTCCATTTTTCCAAGAAATTTTCCAAGAATGGGGTTTGTGGAAAAATTAAATATTGATACGCTATACTATTGAGTAAAGGTGTGATAAAATTTTTCCAATTTTTCCAATAGCGATAATACAATCTTGTCTTTAGAACAGTCATCTTAACAAACGTTTGTACATTTATCTGCTATAGTTTAAGTGTAATTAGAAAAAAAAAAATTAAAATTTTTTTATTCCTTTTGAAAAACAAAGGTGTTCTCAGTTTACATGCTACCGTGGCTGTGTCCTTCTAACGATTTGACCCATTTTCAAGAACTTGCAACAATTTTTGCCAAATTTGGTGTCGTTAGCTTGATTTGATCTACGGCCAAGCGAATGTTTACAACAAACGGACAGACGGTTAGATGAACATGTTTGAAATCGATTCAGTGTAGCGTTAGTTCGCGTTACAAACGTGTTGGCAGCTTGAATATATCTCTCATTCTTCAATGATGGGTATAAAAAAGAAATCTCTCAGGTGAATGCATGTATGTCATGGTTAAATTATTCTTAAAATCGCTTCTATGTGTAAATGAATAATTTTCTCAACTTTCTTCGCGTGCTTACATAGACACAATTTTTCGTTATTTACATTAATAGAAAACTTAATAATATCTGTTTTCATTTCGTGTTTTTCATTTACCGACTGAGTTACCATTTAATTATTTATGATTTAATTACCTTTTCAATCTTCACTAACTGGTACTGCTAAAGAAATCATTGTTTTAATATTTATAACCGCACGCTGCTTATGATACAAGGTGTAGTCAATTTTTTGCCGATATATACTATACTCAAAACACACATTCACATTTTATTGTACCAATCGATTCAACATGATTTTCTTAATTGATTTGAAGATGTCTGTCCGTCTGTCTTGGCATGTCAAATAAATGTAAATAATTTCATTTGGATGAAATCGTTCTTCCAATTAACTCGGCACACAAACGTTCGTCGAGAAGTTCTTACACAAACAGAAATGACCGCTACTAAGTTCGATTCACATGAGCCTTTTTCTCGGAGCTTTTTCTCCTAAATTCTGACTAAGAATTCTCATAAGGAATAAACATTTATATGGCGACAAGATCTAATTATTGATTGTTTATGACAAAGCTCAAGTTCTTGGAGAAGAAATTTGAACTTTCTTCAAAGGTATTGACAGGTGTACCCTTATCTACTGATCGCAATAAACGGATGATATACGTCCGCGACATAATTGTTGCAAAAAACATTACGACATTTGTTACTTGAGGCAATCAATTTATTTTCGACGGTAGAGACGCGTCACCCTTCGTTCGGCTTATGTCAATGAGATTCTTCCAATGATTGCGGAAGGTCTGCACATTTTATCTTATGACACCGCTGCGATGTTAAACATTAATCAAAACAAGTAAGAAAGTTATATTTGGCTGTCGCCGATTCTCGCATACTCACCACTATACTTTTCGCATTCTACTCTCCAAGTGCTTTTATTTCATACCCATATCGCTGGTATTATTAATAAGAAAAAATTGAACCATCAAATCGCGGCCTCTACCTATTTATTTTAGAATTAACATTTTTTTAGGCGTTGGAGTGCATAAAACAGTTTTAAGCCTTCTGTCTGGTTTACCTTATGATTAATAAGCATAAAATCTCAATCAAGTGAAAATGAAGTGAAAGCATTTAGTCACTTGTAACTTTGTGTGGGCATGGTCGATTTTTTCCATTTTTGCACGTAAAGAGTGGAGTATTTCGTAAAGTAAATGCGGAAAATTTCAGCCTCAAGAATGGCGACCTGTAGCTTAAACAGAAATTTACATGAATAG